CGAAGGCGGGTGATTTCCGGTCTCCGGTGGTGGATTTCCGGTCTGGAGTGGAGCATTTCTGCCTCCACACGGGTGGGAAAGCGGTGATCGATGCGGTGGCGAGGAGTTTGGGGCTGAGCGAAGCTGACGTGGAGCCTGCGAGGATGACACTGCATAGGTTCGGGAACACGTCAGCGAGCAGTTTGTGGTATGTGCTGGCGTATATGGAGGCGAAGGGGAGGCTGAAGAAAGGGGATCGAGTGCTGATGATAAGTTTCGGGGCAGGGTTTAAGTGTAATAGTTGTTTGTGGGAGGTTGTGAGGGATTTGGATGGGAATGGGAATGTGTGGGAAGGGATGATCGACGAGTATCCGGTTGGGAATACGGCGGAAAAAAGCCCGTTTTTGGGTAAGTTCGGGTGGCTGCAGAACGAGGTGGACGAAGATTTTCGCTTCCCGGAAGATTAAGAGATACCGGATTAGCTTTTTTTTTTTTTTGGTTTGATTGTTTAGTTTTGTTGTTGTGAACTTGTGCTTTGGAAACTATATGATATGATAGTGTGAGTTTTGGTGTAAGATTGATAGGTTTATTATAATTGTTGTTGATGATCCACAGTGTTATTTGTACCTTTACTCAGAGATATCTATGTTGCAAAAATATATGAAATTGGTTTTGAGATGCAAGTGTTCTGGTTCATCTATTTATCTCTGTATTTAACTTTGGAAAATGCTACGATCCCGTTACGGAATCATCCCGTTACGGAAGAGATGCAAGTGTTCAAGAATGTGCATTCACCGAAAACGTGTTGTCTTCTTTACACGTGTAAAAATGTCGAAAATCGAGCCAGCTATATCTGTTACTCGAGCAGATATACCATCAAGTAATAAATTACGATACCGAAAATCAATGTAGGTAAATTATTGATATTCTCCGTACTCACGTCAGATCCTAATCGCTCGTTACCAGAAGAAGCTGGGCATAACTCGCCCGATGCACACAGCTCAGTGTTCCCGGTCACACTGCAATTATACGAACGGTTAGACGAAATAACATGTAACTGGTAATAAAGTCTGATTACTTAATTTGCTTACACTAAATCAAGGCCATTCCTGTTCGACAGCGAAGCTGGTATCGAGCCGTTGAGTCGATTATTTGCTAGATTTCTGGAAGAAAAAAAAAACAAGTTATTATTATTTTTGGTTTTCTAAGCAGCAATAACAAGTTGTAATATATATTTGTACTCACTCACAGTGTTCTGAGGTTAGGTAATGTGCCAAGGAAATCAGGAATAGGCCCTTGCAAGCTGTTGTTGTGAAAGTCACTACAAAATCCAACAGCAAAAATTTAAATATCGATGCTGAGTTTCAGTTAGAAAAACGATTTTTGTCGCCTCACTCACATTGTTCGAAGAGCATCCATCGAACTAAAATTCGGAAGCATTTCCGAGAGGCCAAAGCTACTGAGAAGCCTGCAATGAACGAATCGTTAACCGAGCTAAGTCGACTATATCACAAGATTGTGCAATTTTTTTACTAGCAGGAAAAATTATCAATTTACAGAGCTGTAACTCGCGGCGTAGAATCACTGCTACAATCGATCCAATCCCATGCGTACGGTGCTGGAAGACACGGATCCCCACTCCAATCTGCCAACGTGCCGAACACGTTTTGTAGAGCTTCCAAGCCTTGCACTGTATTAATATTATTAGCATTATAAGAGAATTAAGTTGATTCATGTATTGACATATATCAGTTTATTTATTTTCCTCACCATCTCTTCTGTCGGTACCGTTTGTCAGGTCGGGTCCCACGACGAAGACTTCTATGGCGTTTATAAGCGGAGGAAGTGTCGAATCGTTTGCCGGGACTATAGAAAAAGTCGTGTTTGTGGAGGCGGTAATGTTATTAGTGTACAGTTGCGTGCAGTTAGCGTAAGGCGGAGAAAATGGCTGCGAGAAGGGCTGATTATCCTTGAAAATGGACATCGATCGTGTCTCGTTCAGCTGAAGTCGGGATACTTCTGAAAAGTAGGCGTTGATGTAAACCGGGACCTCGACAATTGGAAATCCCATGTTTATTTGTAAGCTCGAAGTCGGACTAACTGCGGTAACTGCATGCTTTAGCACTGCGGGTGGGGGTAATTCCGACAATATGATCGGACCGTTGAAAACGGCTGTGCTTGAGACTGGGATCATGGCTTCGGAGGATTCTTCCGGACTCCATATTCGGTCGTATAGATCATTCGGATACCTGCACTCTCAATTTTTTTTTCCCGAATGCATGAAATTTCTTAGACTATATTTGGTAAAACTAGCTGATATAATAAGCTAGCTTACATGATAAAAGTATTTGGTAAAATTAGCTGGCTGAAATAGAAAATTTCAACGAGCTTATTTGAAAATCTACCCAAAAAAAACTTACGAGATAAGTTCGAGCTTTTTGAAAAAAGTTCGTCCAACTAAATAAAACTTATTTAAATACAAGAAACTTATAAACAAATCTAATAAGCTATACGCTAATTTATATGCTTACAAAACACAACCTTAGCCACATTAGTCATTAAAAAAAAAAAAAAAGACACAATCTCTCACCTGATAGTTGCATTCGATCCAAAAGCCACTCTCCTCCTCAGGAACAGAGGCTGTGTCTCGTTTACCATCGCGTACATGAACGGCTCCAAACTCCGAAACTCGAGGGACGACAAAAATGGGAACTGTCCTGGCCTCGTTTGGGCCAAGCACACGCTTATCGACTCCCCCTTCATAACATAAACAACCTCGTGATACACAAGCTCCGAGGCCAAAGTCTCGACCGTCGCCCAACGGTTGCCGTCGAATTGGAGTTCGAAAGTCGGGGGAGAGGATCTGCCGTCGTAGTTCCCGTAGTAAAACCCCGCGCGCACGAGCGCGCGGCCCCGTTTGAACGAGTCGATGTGGTAGCAGTTCTTGGCTCGGGACGTGAAAACGCGCAGCGTGGCCGCTGCTCGGGGGAGCCAGCTGGCCGACGGCACCGAACGGGATTCGCCGGTTCGTGTGAAGTTGTCGTCACCCGACCAGTCGATGAGGTTATCGTCTCTGTATGAGACGGATGAGCCGCAATCGATGCTGAGGAAAACTGCGAACGATAAAAAATGGGATTTTTGTAGAGTCGATAAGAACCGGAAAATAGTCGGAAAAAAAGTGTCGGGTGTTCTTACCGTCGGCCGATACGGAGAGACAGCACAGAGCTAAGACAAGACATGAGAGTTCATGAGGTTTTGCACCCATGACTGTAGTTTTTGTTCTGTCTGGACAAAATTGAGTTTGGTGGCTTATTATGAAGTTATTTTGAATGGTACACATTAAAATTCATCAATGTTCTGTACTGGCTCTGCTTCATTTGACTTTTGAGAGTTTTGGAAAGGACTGAGTCATGCAGTTGACAAGTTGCTGTTGGGTCAACTTAACAAACAAAGTCTCGCAAACAAATAACAATAGACTTTTGGAGTCAAGTTGTAATTTTATAAGAATCAAGTGGGGTTATTGTAATAATCCGAACAGGGTGGAGGTCAATAAAATACACGGTGATTGCACGTAGTTTGCAGTTTGCAAATGTGAGACGGTCTAACAATTAGACTGATTGTAAAATTTATAAAATAAACGGTGATTGCACGTAGTTTGCAGTTTGCAAATGTGAGACGGTCTAACAATTAGACTGATTGTAAAATTTGTATGTGTTTCTAAATTGAAGCATGAACTTGTAGTGCCGAGTACGTTGACATTTCGTGTTTTAATTAAATTGTCAAACTATATGTTTTTAATCATAATAGTTAAGCACTAGTATATTAAATAAAAATGTCAACTCATGTTGAATTTTTTTTTTAAGTATATCATATAAAAATATTATTTACTATTACATGAGTACAAAAATATATATCTTAAATAAATAGAAATAATATGGTGATATATATATGCACAAATGTAAAAGATGTTTGTTTAATATTAATAAGTAAAAGAGATTAATTTTTTTACTTAATTAGATGTCTGATAGATGAGATTTCGTATCTGGTCTTGCTTTACTGTTTTTTTAAACTTAATATGTAATTTTACAATACATGTAATTAATTATTTATTATTATTATATTGACAGCATACCAAGTAGATTTTATTATTTTAAACATATATCATTTTCAAAAGAATACTATCATATTATTTCAATCTTCAAAATGAGTACACTACAACAACAACTGCATTTAGACACTTATTTTTTTTTTTTATTGAGTGATATTTATTAGTGTCACAAATAAATTACCTACACTTGCAAAAGTGTCTAGCAGTTGCATTGCTAAATTTAATGTCACGAATTTATTTGTGACGCAACCTAGATGCGTAGGTAATCTTTAATAGACGACACTTTTTCAAAAGTGTGTAATCAGTACATAATTTAGTGACACAATATATTAATGTAAGTAATTTTTAAATGAGTGACTCTTTTTTTAGCGCGTCATTATTATTACGAGTTGCGACATAAAATTTTAGTGTCGGTAAATCCCAAATAGATTATTGTGAAACGAAATCGTATTGTTGCAATTTTCAATACATTACACTTTTTAAGTGTCATTATAATTTTTGGTGATAAAATGTACAAAGGGATTGGATGACATTTCGTGAAAAATCCATATTCAAACACAAACTTCGATCCACAATATTCGTAATCCTAGGGTTTTGTTGATACCCAATTTAATTGGCTATTAATAAAAATACAACACATTAAAATATTATTTATATTATTTTATCCCACAATAATTGAGGTCCATATATTAAAGATATGATATGTACTTGTGAGATCTATCCAAAAGAAAATGTCCCACACAATCTTATCTTATCGAAGAGGATCCCACATGATCTAAGAATATAAAAAATAAATCTGGTAAGAGAGAAAGTGAGAGGCATTCTTTGCATTACCGATAAAAAATGAGCTTCTTCTTCATTTTTTGGCTTCTCACTTTCGTTGAGTTCAATTCATATATTTTCTTATTATTAATATAAATAAAAGTCATGGATAGATCGAGTATTCATTTCGAATACATTATATAATTCTATTCGTGCAGATTAAAAGGAGCATACAACTTAGTATACGGTTCACAACTGGTGCTGACATTTTCGAGCATCAACAGGTTCACTGATCAAATGATAATTGAAAGATTAGGACCATAATTCTCATGACATTGAATTCTAAACAAAAATACAAAAAAAAAAAAAAA